AGTATTTAGGTTGGAAATTAAAGGACAATCGCGATCTCGCAACTACGGGAAAGTGAACTGACCTGAGTGACCCGACACCCAATAACTGGAATGACCTGTTGATGTGAAAGAAAAATCTAAGAAATTGCAGATTGAGTCCATTCGTAGAAACGTGCGAGGGGATTAACGGGACACCCCTGTATTCTGTTCCCTAATATTTCCTTTAAAGTTCCCAGTACTGACTGTTATGGGTTTGTTTATATTAAACAATCGGCCAAATACTTTGCACCAGGTGTCCACGTCTACATTTTACAACATGCATTTCGTTCACCTTTCCCAGTAATAATTCGTGGTTCGTTCATGATTTTTTAATAATGAGGCATATTGTGCTATTGTTATAAACACATACGAGAGATATTCAAAAAGGCAAAAAGAAGGAAAAAAGTTTTGAGGTAATAACAAGCCTATATTTTAATCAGGAAAGTGTTATCATCATGCCAAATTTCAGCCTAATCCCGATGTGCCCAATGAATTGTTATTACCCCATATGTTGTAACCCCAAACAAACACACAAACATTCATTTGTAATATTAGTAAAGTAGCACTGTACTTCAACGTATGAATCAGGCCGTAACTTGAAATAAACGCTTAGGCCAGTAACATTTTAACATCCAAATGTAATATTATTTCGCCAAACAGCGTTAATCAGTTATTAAACGGAGGCAAATGGTACCAAAAGTCATTATCTTGCAAAAAAAAATTCAAACAAAAATCAGGTTAACAAAAATAAAGGACTAAGGCTTTGACTTTTTCAGGTTATAATCCTAAGTCAAATTTGTATCTAATCGTATAATGAAACTGCTTGATGCATAATTAAGGTTCAAATGAATCAGTAATATTGTTTTAACCTATGTAGATACGATATACTGCACATTGTGAAAATTGTTTAGTCGAGGATACATTTACACATAAACATCATCATTATTTAAATATTTAATTGGCCAACACAAATGTTGTGATTATTGTTTTGAAACTGCTACACATCCGATCATCAAGTTTAAGGTGTCGTTGGATAGGTCGTGACATGTAAATTTGTCATAAAACAAAACACATTTTAAATTCCATCAGGGCTCTGCCCCAGTGGCCTTCAGCCAATTGAAAGTGTCAATATACGTGATTCAATTTATTTCATATCACGGACGATTACTTAATATCAAACATTATAAATGACAAAATAATTGTAAAAATAAACGGTATCAGCATTCTGAAACATACTTTCTCTCATAAGCTTGTTAGCATCCTATATCATGGGAAAGCGGTGATAGTATATAGTTCAAAATCACAAAAGCTGAAATAACTTTTGGACCATAATTGTAACAGCAATTGGGTGTTGTACTATTTTTTTAAACATCATTTGTTTATGTTTATAATCCATACCGGGTCTTTTCTAGTATTCGTGGTCTAATCACAGAATACCGATAATTTCACCCGAATTACCTTTTGAATTCAAGTGAATACAATTTCCTTTGCGTCTTGCTTTCGCAATCACCATTATAAAATGGCACAAGACTATCCCTGACTATCGCCGGTTTAAATGTATAATACCCCCGCCGCAGCAAACCTGCCAACTAAGCGAATTTCCATTTGTCTGAATTGATTTTCATTAAATATATTTAAATAACATAAGGTTTAACGAGTACCTAGGTTTGCTGCTACAAGGAAACTAATAAAGTGTGTTTTTTAGTCAAATATTAATAGCTTAGTGTAAAATACATTAATTTGCCAAGTTTGATCAAAATATATCCATAAACAAGCAAACTACAACATTTTAGAATATTCTCCATAAGAATAACATGGGAATTTTAAATTTTTTTAATTTTCTCTGTTACCAATAACCGAACAAAAATACTTTGATATACTAAATTATTTGTTTTTTAAGCGCTTTAAAAAGGTCTAAAGAGAAATTGGGGTATTTTGTGTTTTGAGGGTCAAAAGTGAGAAAAACCAATTTTTACCCAATAAAACCCCCCGTAAAACCGCGTTCCCATGGTCCGATCATGCTGGTTCGCGAACTCATTCAAGTTTATCCCGTTTTACACCTTTAAACCAAATTTCATCAAAATTGGACAAAAATTACTCAAGTTATCGCGTTCACGGACACACACACACACACACACACACACACACACATATATATATATATGTCCGTGAACGCGATAACTTGAGTAATTTTTGTCCAATATATATATATTTGAACGAATGGTATTTTTGGCCTCTGGGGACATCAAAATGAAAAAGTAAATGGGTCCCGGGCCTAGGTCTTACCATGCCACCTACGGTAATAGCTACTTCCCTATAGGGAAATTCGCTAAAATGCATGCTTTTCTCACGTATGTTGCGTGCGCACGTGGTGATAGGTGCGCATAAAAACGTACGCCTAATGAAAAAAAATTATTTATTCACTGGCAATTAAGTAAAATAACTATTCTATTTTTGTTTTTGGTATACGTTTTTATCATCTCATATTAATACGCGAGGACTGTGTTTTGTGAACACTACTCCTGCTCCCTTATTTGTGGACAAATTTCAACGTTTAAGGTGTTAGTGTTAAAGGATTCGGACCAATTCGTAGCTTTGCATTAAGGTTTTATAATTTAAAAGTTCCTACCCTTAAGGGCGTGAAACCCTTTCAAATGTCGGGTTTTCACCATGTTAATAATTGTATTACCATAGAATAAATAAACACCATATTATTATTTATATTATATTATTTATATTACTTCATCTATGGTATTACCTATCAATCTTTCTTCCGAAAATAAACTAAACTGTCCAGAAATGCTATTTAAGAGTTAGGTGCTTTAACTTACTCTAAATTAACTGAATCAAAGTACAATATATTTAATGCTACAGAATATAAATCCAACCGATTTATTTATTGTAAATCCAACCGCGAGGTGGTGGGTTGTCGAGGTTGCACGTTGTCGCCTATGAGCGAGATGACGCGTTGACGGCACCGAACACTGAGCGTACACGTCAACCCGCCAACTCGTAAAAGAGTGGTGGCGGGTTGACGGGGTGGCACGTTGTCGCCCACGTACGAGGTGGCGGGTTGCCGACATCGAACATGGAGCTTCACGACAACCCGCCACCTCTGATAAAAACTGGTGTTGGTTGGTTGTCGTGGTGGCATGTTGTCGTGGTGGCTCATTGACTTGAGTGTGTACGACAACCCGCCACCTCGGAAAATTGTGTGGTGGTGGGTTGTCGTGGTGGCCTGTTGTCGAGGTGGCGGGTTGACCTGTACGTACACGTCAACCCACCACCTCGGTTTTTTTGTGGTGGCGGGTTGACGCCTCTGACCAAAACACCGAGGTGGCGGTTTGACGTGGTGGCGCATTGACAGCGACCCGTTACAACCCTACTTGCGACGTTGCCACTTCAAAGGCCGCGGCCTGGAGTTAAAGGCGGCCGTGCACTGATACTTTGGTGTGCACTTTCGGTACTCTTAGTACTTTAATACCGTGGATTAGAACCTACATACCAAATTTCATCTAAATCGGACCACAGGTGTAGTCCCTAGCTCTGTACACATCCAGACACACAGACACACACACACACACACACACACACACACACACACACACATAGGCCTACATCACTTCGAAACCCACTTTTTTGGGTCCAGGGGGACCCAAAACGGATTATCCACTTTAAACTCAAACTCGAAAATTTTGACGAAAACAATACTTTCTCCATATACTATGGTGTATAAGGGGAGAACGTAATAAACGGTATCAGCATTCTGACGCATACTTTCTCCCATAAGTTTGTCAACAACCTTTATCATGTGTAAGCGGTGAGAGTAAATATACGGAAATGGGATTTGTACAATATTCTTTAGAATTTAAAGAACTATAACATACTAAATTATTATCAAAATCGTTCGGGCTATTTTTGGGAAAATCCTATTTTTCCGTTATTTTATTGGGTTTTCATGGGAAAATAGCATAATTTACTATAACTTTTGAACCGTAATTTTTACAGAAATGGGATTTGTACCATTTTGTTCAGAATATAAAGGACTATAACATACTAAATTTTTATCAAAATCGTTCTGGCCATTTTTGGGAAAATCCTATTTTTCCATTATTTTATGGGGTTTTAAGGGAAAATCCCCATTAAAAATAAAAATTTCTAAAAAATGAAAAAACTATCAAAGTTGTAAGGACCATTACATACTATGTTAAATCAAAACCTGACGTTTGTCTAAAATCCTATTTTTCGTTATATTATGGGGTTTTTATGGGAAAATAACATAATTTACTATAACTTTGAACCGTAATTTTTACAGAAATGGGATTTGTACCATTTTGTTCAGAATTTAAAGGGCTACATCATACTATTTTTTTTATCCAAATCGTTCGGGCCATTTTTTAAAAAATCCGATTTTTTCGGGTTTTTTATGGATTTTTATGGGAAAATCCCCATTAAAAATCAAAATTTCAAAAAAATGAAAAAACACCTGGAGATAGCACAGATCAGAACCTACATACCAAATTTCATCGAAATCGGACCACAGGTGTAGTCTCTAGCTCTGTACACATCCAGACACACACACACACACACACACACACACACACACACACATAGGCCTACATCACTTCGAAACCCACTTTTTTGGGACCAGGGGGGTAAAAATTCAGTTTCCACAACTCACCTAGGTGACCCAAAACGAATATATCCACTCAAAACTCAAACTCGAAAATTTTGACGAAAACAATACTTTCTCCATATACGTATAGGGGGAGAAAGTACAAATGTATTGGAAGAAAAATATCGATGGAAGAACATCGACTATCGGCTTACAAACATTTTCAATATATCTATCGACTATCGATGCCCAACACTATTTTTTTTTGTATCGTATCGTATCTTTCGTATCCGTCCGTTCCGTTCATTGTTCCGTGTCGTCGTCGTATGTTTGAATAATTTAATTACGAGTACGAGTAGACGGAAATTGTTATTGATTGTTTTATTTAGAGGTAGAACATGGATTCCGTCGTGAGTCATTCAATGTGACAGCAAAATAATAATTTATTTTATTATTTGTTGCATGGGTACCATCAAGTAAAGTTTATTGAAATAGAGTTTTAGCTCTAAACACTGACTTATAATTTGTAGGCTAAGATGAGTTGTAAATGTTGTTGTTTACCTGCAATTGATTCAGGATCAGTTAGTTTCTTTAGGAAATACTCTTCCAGAAAAAGAAACAGGTAACCTACCTTTAAAACAACATTACGTAATCAACGTATTTTATTTTATCTGTTAAAACAATGAATGCAATTAAACACGTGTACTTTTAATTTACAACCCAAAAATAATAGGTAGGATGGCCTAATATTGTGTTTGAAAAATTCCTTATCTTCAACAAACTTTCTTTGTACCTATTGTCATAACATCTGACAGTTTTATCTGATTACCCAAATTGTGTAAAAAGTTTTTTTTTTTTAATTTAGGCCGAAATAAATTACTTTCATTAGGATATGCACTCTCTAAGTTTAAGTTAGACGTAGGCGCCACTTATTTTTAATGAAAGCAGATAAGTTACCCCTACTTTAAAAGGTAAATATGTAACCATTAAAACTTTTTTTAAAACCTCTTACAGGAAAGATTCTCATCAAAATGCTTTTGTCAATTTTTTGCAGTGCATAAGTTAACTCACAAACACAATCATAAAAATTAATGCAAGTTGCTAATTAAGTTAGGTTAGGTATACCTACTTTAAAAGTTATACGGTAGGTTAGTTATAGATAGGCCTATAACCTTGATAGCTTTTAAGTTATTTAGGCGTAGATTGATTTGTTCCCTATTGCACCCTAACTTCTCAAATGATCAGAGATGTTTCTTTGACCCTTGATTGAATAAAGGCTAAGTTTACTCCTAACATATTCTCTCCTAAACAGGCTAAGTAAGTAGTATAAATTGGTCAGTTCATTAAGATTCATTCTAATTATAATTAACTTCATGTAGGAAATAACATATATATTTGTGTTATAAGGTAGTCAGGGTCTAAGTTAGCCTAAGTATGTAAATTTAGTTTTATTTCGAAAATAAATTTAAATTTCGCAAACTCAAAACCTAATCAACACCTGTCAATTTAATAAAATAGGCCTAGGTGAAGTCCTGCACAAAAAATATCGTGAAGTAATTAGGTTGCTATTTCATGTTCAGTGGCCACAATAAAATCAGTGTGTTATTGAAATTAAAATTTAATGGCAATGGATGCCAAATCCATTTTATTATTATATCTATATATTATATTTCCTGTCTGTTGTAACCTTCATGTACGAAATAAAGTAAGGCCCACACTTAACCGATCTCGCCTTTAACCGATAATTGGATTAAGTTATCTGCCCACGATTTTAAACATAAGTTACACAGTTTGTTTTAACCAACCTTCCTTTGAGAGCAGTTTGGTTTAAAACCGCCGATCTCTAGGCAATTTGGCATTTCCGCTCCCACGATCGGCGATGGGAACCATACGCTTATCTCCACAGGATCACAGAAAACATACTACTGTAACCCAGAATGCCAACCGCATGGTAAAAGCGTTAAGTACTTTTAGAGAGCTTTGCCTATCAATTCGTAGGCAGCGCCACCAGCGTCCTAAAAAAACATATAGTAAGTATATGTTTTCTGTGACAGGATGTGACCAAAAATAAGTTAGCCTAAAATATTTTGTAGGCCTATCCATCCCATAAAAATTATGTTTCTGAAAACAGCTGTCATTATTGTAAAATCTAGAATCTAGAATTATCTTATCGCTAAAATAAACAAACAACGCAACTTGTAGGGTAGGCAGGGGAGAGGGGTTAACTACTCTAAAGTCAAGATAGTTGTTGTGACTCAAGCCTCCAGTGAGAGGCTATAAATAAAAATTCTGTCTTGTAAGAAAATGGTTGCTTGTAGGCTATCTTTAATTTTGACAAAAAGTTCTGTAGCCTACTGTATTATGATGGATTTGGAAGAATCAATTAATATTACAGTAGGGTGAAGTTTGGGGTAAGTAGGGCCGCGGGGCAAGTGAAGCCAGTGGCTGCCCTGGCCTTATAAATGGCAAATTAAATAAAAACTCACCAAATAGGCCTAATGTTTATTTGGTTCCTTATGTAATATATTTAACACTAACATTGAGTGTAACTGGACAAAAACTACCTATATTTTTTAATTGAAAAAAAAAAACAACCTTACGTTTCACCTCCAAATGGTAGTGCAGGGGTCAAAGTTTGCATAATTGCTACCACTATAGCCTATATGAGAAGTCCTAAAGTCAAAGATGTGAGTGTGTCTAGTAGGTAGTTTTTAAGTGTATATTAAGCCGATGTGGTATATTTTTCCTCAAAAATGCTTAGTAAACAAAATAAAGCCGTGGCCTCACTTGCCCCGCCAATTTTCAACGTGGGGCAAGTGGAGCCATAGACCCCGGGGTAAGTGGAGCCAGTAAACAGTAAACTCCTTTTATCAAAGAGTGAAATTAACAGTTAAGTTGAGATGGAAGACAGGGTTTTTTGGTTAAACTTAGTATTTTTAGTTCGACATAATAAGACCGCAACCTTGATACTGTAATTTTAAGTGTAAAGTGTTGACAACACAATGTAAAAAATTAATGAACAATATTATAAAGGCAATTTTTCCACATAAAATTCATTGCAAACCATGCCCAAGAGTTCAGAAAATACTGCTTAATATGTAAGTACAATAATTAGGTGTCATATTAATAGTTTTATATTAAAAAGTACTTTCTTAGAAATTTTACAGATTTTCACATTGTTGTGTTCTCGATCACGGGGCGAGCTCTAGTAATACGCTAATAATTCTTTTGTTACTACAGGAAAATTGTGTTGATGCTGGTGGGATTAGACAATGCTGGAAAATCGTCAACTGCAAAACGATTAGCTGGAGGTTAGTGGTAAATTATAATTTTGGTTAGTATCAACAAAAAAATGCAAAGAACATTTAGAATATACTATGGCTATACAGTAGGACCTCAATATCTCGAATCTGAAGGGGTTATGATAAAAATTCGAGCTATCAAGTTTTTCAAGTTAGTGAGGTTCAAGTTATCAAGGTTCCATATGAAAAGTTTGAGATACTGAGGTGTTGGGGTCTTACAGTGATGTTACGTTACAGCCTTTAAAACTTGACTTTTACGTGTTAAACCTTTATAAATCAAACTCAAACTACAGTATATTTATAGGTACTGGAGAGTACGTATTTATTTTGGAAGCAAAATAAAACAATTTAAATGCACATAAAGAACAGTACAGTAGAACCCCTCATATCCGGCCTTGGTTTTACTGGTCCTCTGTTTATCCAGCCCCTTCTAGGAAGCCAATAAGAAAATGTTTTTCTCACATCTTACAGACGTTTAGATGCAAGCACTAGCCTTTGCGCTTACTCAAGTCATAAAATAAATTGTTCTCACTATTTATCTGTTTGTTTATCATTTATTTACTGTGTCACTATACTCAATTGAGCTAGTAGGCCTAACCTCTGAACAGTTGGTTGATTATTTTCCAAAGTGGGGTTCCTGAGAGGCTATGGATATGGCGGATGGGAATAGTGTGATAAATTGTCCCGTTTGTTCGAAAGTGTGTAGAGACGACGAAAAAGCTTTGTTGTGTGAAGGTTACTGCAATTCTTGGCATCACGTGTGTCAGGATTTCAGTGAAGAAATCAGGCCCGGTCTGGCTCCATTGGAGGCCCTCGGCTAGATGTTGATTTGAGGCCCTCAGCCAGAAATAAAACAAGGACCATGGGGTGCTCTCACGGCAACAATTAGTTAGCATATATGTTTGCTGCAGGCCGCAGGTGCATAAAAGGGGCCTAATGTGGTTTTAAATGATTAAAAAGTTTTTGATAATTTTTATTAAATTAATATTTGCTAAATTTCCATAAATTAAAATCTTTGTATTTATACATTTAATTCCAAGGTATCAATCAATTTAAATTTGATATAAAATTTGCTCGTATTTCTATTCACCTCTACAGCTGCCATAAAATTTAAAGGCCTATTCTTAAAATAGTTTTTTTAAGTCTTCAATTTAAAAATAAGACTAAAACATAGTTCTTGGAGTTTTTGCCATAGGCTACATGGTAAAAAAACATATCACGTACCACTTTTGAATCTTGAATACATCTATGAATGGACCACATTTACTTTTTATCACACACTTTACTCCATAGTTGTACTTCAGCAACAAAGACAAACAGAAATAATCAAAAGTATTTTAATTTAAACGTTGTAAAGCTTACAAAAAAATTCTGATGATTTCCGCCTGCCTGTTTGTGACTTCTCATTGTTAGCAGAATCGGAACTGAAACCAGCTAATCTGCTAACCATAAGTTCAAACAGTTCGACTTTAATTTGTTTTTATTTTGAAATATTTCCTATCCATTTTTATTTTACTTGCGCCACTTGGTTGCGCACGTTTCATTTTATAAACTGAACGATTCACGTGTTAGTAATCTTTCAAACAATACGTCATAACCCACTACGTAGGAATGACTGAAAACAGTCGTCGGTGATTAAACTAGTCCCTTCTCTGTGACAAGTCGTAACACCATACTCGACCTTTTGGTGTTGAGATGAGGCTGACTGGTAGAATAAAATCAGTTGTAGATAAACTGACGGATAGGAATTGGGAACAGTTTTTAGGGATGATACATAAAATGTAATTGCATTTATTTTTGTTGTTTGAAAAAATATAAAATTGCCAAGACACTGTGTGTTATATACTGATGATTTAGATTTTAATGCCTGTAGTAATATCTGTTTTAAAAACCAGGTAACAAATAAATAGGAATATTTGTTATACTGAGTTAGAGACATTAGGCCTACTGAATAATTTAAATCTTGCAGTCATGTAATAAACTAAAAATTTTTAATTAATTGTAAATGTTGTCATTCTATTACGTTTTATACCAAAGTAACAAAATATTAATGCAAATGACAACAAACAATAGGAATCAAGCGGGAAAACTCCAATGTTTAAAGTAAAATTATATTAGATAATTTTCTTTGCAATGACTGAAACCACTTCACCGATTGAACGCCACCAGTTAGTTGTTGTTGTAGTAGAATTCTCTCGGGTTTCATTCGACTGAAAAAAAACGACTGGTTTTAAAAACAACCGATTGGCAAATTGACTAGTCGATAGTTTTTTCCAGTCGGTTGTCCCATCACTATACTAGTACAAGCGCTAAGCTGTCTGCTTGAGTCCAGACACCAGACATATCGCAGACGCGCCGGCACGGCCATGTCTCGTCACTACCGCGGAGCGCTGGGCATTGGGCAATGAGCTGATTCGAACGGTGCGTTGCAGTGAGATCGGTGACTATCCTCTAGTACCGAGTGACTATCACTGTACTTAGGGGCTACCCCTAACTGTAATTCAATTAAAAAAAGAGTATTGTTTATTAAAAATTGTTTTTGCAAGACTACGTCGCTGTGAAACAGTTAAACAAAATATTGTATTATTATAACTAAATTTTTTTGAATTGATTTTTTGGCGTTTGGAGGCCCCCTTGAGCTGGAGGCCCCCGGGGATCGCCGACCAGCTGCCCTGGCCAGACCGGGCCTGGAAGAAATTTAGCGAAATACAGAACCTGGAAGAAAATGTGAGGTGGTTTTGCCGACCGTGCGATTCGAGGTTAGGGAAACACATTGCACCTGCACAAGGTAAAGTGGACGTAAGCTTAATCGATGACTTGACAGTTATTAAAAACTGTGTGGAAGCTTTTTCAAAATTAGGTACATCTCTGGAGAAAAAACTTGATAAACCTTAGTGTGAAAACAAAAGTAGATGTGAATAATTTAGTTAAACGGACAGCAGACGAAATTAAGGAAATAGATTCTTTTAACAAAATTAACGCGTCCAAACAAGAAATTGGCCAAGAAAAGGGAGTTGAATCAGAAGGTTGGCAACAATGACGTCACTGAGATCCCCTCTTTCCCATTGGTGACAAATGACGAAGACGAAATTCATACTGCTGTGAATGAAAACGGAACGGTAGTTGAATCAAATGAACAGCAAATCGGACTGAGAAACGGTAGTGAATTGACTCCAGTGGGAGGAGTGCGATTCGAGTGGCAACAGGAGCTGACGGGAAAGACTGGAGGAACTGAAACCGATTGTAATCTCGCTCCAGTCAGTCCAGTCTCGACAGTGTCCAAATCCTACGCGAGTACTGTTTGAGGATCGAAAGGAGTACCAAAGTCGAAAAATCCTAATACAGTCTCAAACAACAGGAACCATCTGAATTCATCTAAAGTGGTAATCGGCACTGGCTCGACCGAAACCAGATTGAAACCGGCTTGTAAACGAAAATTTATTTTTGTATCGAGACTATCACCTGCAACAACTTGCGATACCTTAACCAGTTTTCTTGCAGACAATGATATACACAACTACGAATGTGTTGAACTGAATACACGTTTTAAATCCTACAAATCGTTCAAGTTGGGAATAGCAGAACTGTGTGTCGAAAGGGTGTTACGCTCTGATTTTTGGCCAAACGGCATCCTTGTTAGAGAATTCCTTCCATCTCGACGTCCTTCACCGAGATCTTTTTTAGGCAGGACGGTCCAGCACTCGGGATTGCCAGACCACCAGAATGTGTCATGAGAAGACTTGAGGACCCAGAAAATTGCTCTCCTGTTGTAATTAGTGGTTTAAATGTACAAAGTATTCGAGGTCAGGAGAGCCTATTAACTGTGTTCATTGAGGAAGAAGAGAAGGTATAAACATTCTTGGCGTTTGCGAACATTGGTTAGTACCAGAAGAGACTGAATTCTACAGTACAGTGGCAAATTTATCCCTTGCAAGTATTTACTGCAGAAAAAATTCCAAGTGTGGCGGAGCATCATTGTTCATTGACCCAAGCCTTGATTTTAGTGTCTTAAATGTGGAGCAATTCTGCTCAGACCTCGATTGTGAACTAGTAGCGATTTACATACCAAGCCTGAACGTGACGGCAATCTGTGTTTACCACTCACCTAGTGGGAATTTCAAAGTGTTTTGTAATCAATTGGAGAGCTGTCTGGCTTCCATTGAGAGAAATTTCTCCAACTTGGTCTTGATGGGGGATTTCAACGTAAATTTCATTGGAGAAGGCACCGAGAGATCTGCCCTGCTCAATCTCCTGAAGTCCTTCGGACTTTTCATCATGACAACACAACCAACGAGGGGCCACTCCTGCATCGACAACATAGCTGTAAACCTGAACACCTGGGATTATGAGGCCAGTGTCGTTGAACACTTTGTCGCAGATCACTCCGCAGTGGTGATGAGATGGATGACTTCTTCAAATGTGGTGAGTCCTCCTTTGAATTCTTGGCATAATAGTTATCTTTTTAACATTAGAAAAATTGACCTAAGCATGATAGACCTATTTTTAGTAGCTCTAGGTGAGATTAAATGGTTTAACATCCTGAAAGACGATGCCAATGACTTTGATGTGTTTTTTTCTGAAATAAGGAAGTTATTTGATGTTTTCTTCCCATCTAAGTCTAAGATATATAGGCCCAACAACAAAACTTGTGTGACGAGGTCAAAATCCTACCTCAAATGGTATACTCCTGAAATGTTTAGGCTAAAGCAGGACATGCTCGCACTGAAGGACAGGTTTAGGGAGAACAACCAAGAGGTGGACAAAGCAGCCTACTTAGCCTCTAAAAATGCATACAAACAAAAGATTGTTGAGGCCAAGAAAGAGGCTAATGTAAATATGATTGTTTCTGCTAAAAATTAGTGCAAAGCAGCTTGGGATGTGGTCAAAACGGCCACAAGAAGCAGTCGGGTGACCCAATTACCACACAGCCCTGACCAATTTAATAGGTTCTTCATCGACTCCATAGACAACATTGTATAACCGGTCTGAAATCTTTAGACTCCAGTAAG